AATTTCTTGTAATGAAATAGCTAAATATTTAAAACGAGATATGATATGACATTAATTTCTTGTAATGTATTATAGAATAGTAAATTAATAAAGAATGTATTGTTAAAAAGTAAAGAAATTTTATTGATTTGTGTATAGAATATTTTATTGTGTGAATGTAAGGTAGAAAATTGTGCTTTAAATGATATGACAAACGGGGCTAAGATATATCTTCTCACTTAAAGTTTTGACAGTAAAAGTTGAGATACATTTGCATATTTAAATTCGATGTAAGACAAAGGATAATAATATAAACATAAACATATAAGTGTTCTTCAACTTGTACTACTATATATATAGGTGAACTCACTCACTTCCTTTTTGAGTTTAGAAACAGATCAGAACTGAAAGATCAAATTTCCAGAAGCTGTATATTGACAGAATTTGAGTGATGGATGAAGTATCAGGCTTTTGTATTAAGCAACGCGGTGGCTACGGTGGTGGTAGTGGCGGCACGGGAACCAAGTGTGGGAGGTGGAATCCAACAACTGAACAGGTTAAAGTTCTTACAGACCTGTTCAGGACTGGGCTTCGAACTCCTAGTACTGATCAGATCCAAAAGATATCTTCTCAGTTGAGCTTTTACGGTAAGATCGAGAGCAAAAATGTTTTCTATTGGTTTCAAAACCATAAAGCTAGGGAAAGACAGAAACGCCGCAGAGTTTTGGTCGATGAACCTAATGACTTCCATCACCAAGACAAGCTTTCATCAACAAAATGTAAGTCAAATTCTTCATGCACAGTACTCGACTAATAGTATATTACATTTTGGTACGCAGTGTTAAATCTTGACACTTTGTCTCCAAACATGCCATAATTGTTGATGGAAAATCCTTATCCTTCACAAAAAGAAAAAGATATTGAATTTTCTTTTCTTATCTGTTCTTTGTATTCATTGATGTTTCAAATAATTCAATATTTGTATAACTTCTCAGTTTAATAAATATCTACAAATTACTTTCATCTTATTGAAAGTTTTAGAACCTTGTTAATGGAAACTCCTTACCCTAAAAAAAAAAAAATTGCTGTACGTTTTCGTATTTTTCCTTTCTCGTGAAGTCCTTTTTCTTAGTGCTTGAAAGGGAGGGAAATTTTAAATTGAAAGGCAACCCGAGTAATATTTTCTTTCTGTTTCTTCAATGACAGATCTTGCTGAGTTAAATCATATTTCTGAGCCTGAAAGGGTACTCGAGACTCTGCAACTATTTCCACTCAACTCATTCAGGGAGCCGGTGGAGTCGGAGAAGCGTAGACTGTTTGCAAATGATTACTACAAAGAGAATTCATACAATATTGGGACACAAATGGATCATCCAACATTGGATCTGCGATTAAGTTTCCTGTAAAAGAAGACTGTCTGAATAGAAAATGTTACAAGCTAGGTTTAGCATGCATGAACATAAAATTCAAAAAATTATTCAAATTTTGTGATCTGAAAGATTAAGCTAGAGATGTACAATGCACGTAGCTCTAGACATTGAATATGTGCTTTGAAGGTTTAAAAATGCATCGACATTCTCCTCTGCATGCTCGTAATCAAAGAATTTTTTTTTTTACTTTGAGTTTACACTTCTTGGATATTATCCCCCGTTTGGTCCGAATTAAAATATGATTTTAATCTAAGTCAAAGTCAAATAATCAATATTAACCAGTGTTCTAAAATGTGTAATGCGTTGCAATACGTCGAGAATCAAGAATCACAAGTTTAAGCGTGTCAATGCGGAGAATATGCGTTATAATGCTTTTCGTACTTTTAATATTATTTTAATATAATAAATAGATTTTTATATTAAAAATAATAATTTTTTATATCATATCAAAAAAAATAAAAAATTGGGGCGTCTCAATGAGCGCATAGGCTCTCCTGATGTGCGCCCATGCACGCATTGTTCAGCATTGAGACGCCTAGGCACCCCTAGACGGTCAACAAAAATCGTTGACCGCATTTTTACGCGCATTGCCCAATTTGACGCATTTTGTACGCACGTCGTGACTAGACGCGCCTAGGCAGCGCATTTGGGTGCGTTTTCGAACACTGATATTAACCACATATTTCATAAGTCCCAAGACTTTTAAACCACACATTTTAAAAATTTGTATCACAATCTATTAAAAATCTAATTTTAATCCCTATCATATGTGATGTGCACATAGCCCAATCCCGAGCCCTCGCATATGTAGCCCAACCTATTTTCCCTGAGCAATTATGCCCTCAAATTCCTCATAAACATGGTCGGGCCCGGCCCGTTGGTGGGGCATACTGGTCAATTCTTGATAGGGTCGGACCTATATTGGAGATACCACTCTTCATGCCCTTATCTCATGCCTTTTAAAAATTTTAGTCCTCCCATAACTCAAATTCCCTACATTCATCCTTATCCAAATATCCAATATCTTACTGTCTAAGTCAAACTTCAAGATATAATTTTAGCCTCCGTTTAGTTTACATTTTGAAGGTAAGAATACATTTTTACTGTTGATGTGATGGAGAATATGTGGTTGAAAAAGAAGGAAAAGTTATTGATGTGATGGAAAATATTATTTTATTGAAAAATGTGTAGTTGAAAATGAGTAGAAAAATGAGAATGAAAAAAATAATATGGATCGAACATGGCCTTAGTATAACTTAAATCACTTTATGTGATAAGGAGGGGGATTCTAGGTGGTTTAATCATAAAAGGATCCAGCCACCCGCCTCTATGATCAAGGTTCATTATAATCTATTCAGGTCCCTACGCCTCTATGATCAAGGTTCATTATAATCTATTCAGGTCCCTACGCATAAATTCTCTTTCTAACTTAAGTATTAGAGAGGAGACGATCACACAACTCAGCGTCTTTGTTTCAAGTACGTACCCTAGATTCAATGCACCTATTTGTTATCATCAACGGAAATACAACTCGTCCTCATCCTTTATCCTCAAGCTCGAGATTAAACACGCGCGGATTTTGGTAGCATCAGTATGAATCCACGTGTAATTATCTCTATGTGTGCGTGTTTTGAAATTTGATTCCCGATGATTGTCGCATTGAATTGAATTAAAAATTCTGCAAGAGATGGGTGGTACCTTGGGTCTGGTTCCACCTTTGGAATTTTTATCGGGATTTAATTAGTGACACATCAAATTAGAAAATCTCAAATACAACTTAACCGTTACTTCTTGAAGCCTCGGTTTTTTTGAATCCTATATGCTTTGACGATTTATTTTAGGTTAGATCCCCTTGTTAGACTCTAGTGATGGCTCGATGGATAACAGAAAAATTTGATCTAACCGTAACCCATATATTTATAAATTTCACGAGTCGTGCTATGTATACATACACATAGATGTACACATAGGAGTTCACATAATGTGAGTGGAGTGGAGCCCATGCTACAGTATCGTGGGTCCCACCCGACTCACATTATGTGAATCTCTATGTGTACATCTATGTACGCACACAGATTAATCCATTAATAAATACCAATTTCCAAGATAAATTCGAAGAACAGACGCTTTATCCTAGTAGCCACATACCATCACCTCAAGAACAAATGGGAAGCTTGTAGTTGAATCTTTTGTAAAAACAAAGAATATAAGGACACTATAAAGCAGGCACGAGGAGGTTAACAATATCAACATTTTCAAAATATTTTTTTTTTAATCATGATATAAAAAACATTGGCAAATGTAGAAGGATTGAACATCCAAACTAATGAGATTGGGCCTTAAACAACTGTTAGGCTCAATATGTGGATAGAATAGCATATAGCAGTCCCAGAATTGTTGTGCCCTGTGTGCAAACTCATTTTAGGATATTAAGGGATCGTTTGACATAACTTTTGAAAAGTTAAAAGGGCTCAAAAACTGCTTTTAAACCCTCTTGTCTAATTTTATGAAAGTGTTTTTGATAGTTAGAAAATCTTTTAGAGAAAGCTGATTCAATGTGACTTTATCTAAAAGTACTTCCGAAATAGGAAGTGTTTTTAAAATTTAATTTTCAAACAAAAATTAAGAAGACTTTCTCTAAAAACTCTTCTAAAGAAAGTGAAAGATGAAGCAAAAGATATGTCAAATTGGCCCCAAGTGACGCAATGCGAAAAAAGAAATTCAAGTGAAACACTTAAGAACTCAAATCTGGAATCCACTAGAGAATGAAAGACAAAATCAAAAAGCTTTTATTAATTTCAAGATACCTAAAAACAACAAATTAGCCCTTTATTTATAAGCTCTTTTAAAAAATATTTTTTTTCTATTTTTTAATTAAATATGAGCGTATATTCATCATTTCACATATTTTATTGAAAAATTGGATGAAAATGGAAAGAAATGATGGTTTGCGCAATTAAATGTATAATTAAGGGTGAAAATGCTAAAAAAATAAAAGATGTGGACTTTTCACAATAATAATGAAATATAAGGACATTATGTGCTAATTACCCTTTTAATAATTTACTTGGGGTTTATTTGCACTTTTTTTTTTTTAAGAAAAAAGTTTGGATAGTTGCAATTATTTCTATTATTTCTTTTATTTAAATAGAAGTTTATATTCCTCGTTTCACAACTTTTAATTGAGAAAATGAATGAAAATAATCTTTTGCGCAATGAAAGGTAAAAACAAGAATGAAAATGTCAAAAATGTAAAAGGTGCTGACACTTTCCATGGAAGGTAAAGACGTTATGTGCTAATTACCATTTTCTCATGCTATAGCTTTCAATAATTATACCTTTAAAAGCATTAAAATATAATTTCCACTAATTGCATTTTCTAAAATTTTTCTCTTCATTTATTAATTTGTATCTTTTTTCTTTTCTTATGCTGAACTATTTTATTTATATATAATTAAAACAAAAGTCCAATTTGAAAAAGACCCCAAAAACAAAAAAGTAACATATATAGTACATCCTTCCTCTTCCATCTCCCACCATAATCCCCTCACACAATTACAAAATAGTTACATTTATTTATTTTCATTTCACTTAGTAACTTGTGACATATTGCATGAACTCCGGGTCGGACTCTAGACCCGCCATGGTCTCCGATGCCAAAAGCACTTCAAAATCTACACTCCCACCACCTTCGCGACCCGGAAATGCAGAAATCTTCCCGTCAAATTTATTAGCTCGCCCGCTACGAACAGCGACAGGTCTACCCCACCCGAAATCATTCTCATACATTGGAAATCTAGGAGAACTTCCCATTGTGATCATCGCACCATCGAAATTACCCAAAGGGAAACACCGTGGGTCCTGCTCCCAATCTTCTACGAATTTCCTCACTGTATCCTTGTCGTGCGCCAACACATTCTTATTTAATTTCTCTGCGCACCAGCACAAATCTTTCGACAACACGTCGCCGGCTGATGCGAGAGTCGGAATGCTCTGTATAGCGTTACCGAAGTAAAGTGGCTCCAGCTTCGGCTCCAGCCGGTGGCGGCAATTCACAGCCATGCGAAACGTTGTAGTTTTAGAAGGTGGTAATTTCCTTGCTCGTGTAATTCCGCGCCATAGTACAGCGCATAATGATTGAAACGATGAAATCTCAGCCGTTGGGTTTGCATTTCGTGTCTCCTTCGAGACAACATTTTTTAGCCATGTTAACGGCGTCAACTTTTCGCCGGGAAATTTGAATGTGTCGTTGCTATGCTTTCCTATTAATTCAGCGACGTCAATCTCGCCGTTAAGTTCCCATCTCTGGTTATTAACTTTGGCTTTCAGCTTCAGAATTGATTCTCTGCTGAAACTGAAAATTCTTTCTCTCAATGGAGCATCAAGGGAGAAAGTAACCTTTGGTCCGCCGGCTGGGATTTTAAGTACCGCCTGGGAAATCAGAATCGATTCCCGGCGAAAGTCTGGAGTCCGGAATATTCTTTTAATGCCCCTACTCACGTCAGCAAAACTGTTGAAGAAATTCCAAAACGACGTCCCATCCATAACGGCATGATTTACGGCGCAGCCAATGAAGACTCCGTCAGCCAATTCCGTCACCTGAACGGCAAGAATGGGGCTAAAATGTCCTTCATAGCTAACCGTCTGATCAAAAGAGAAGAATGTTTTAACTACTTGTGGGACATCAGTGGGCCTAATAATGTCCTTGACATAAATATGGGACGCATTGGCGTGAATGAATTCAACTCCAGCGTCATTGCAGGTGATGTAAACGTATCCCTTATCGTCAGTGGTGAGTCGGCCGGCAAGCGGTGGGAAGTGAGTGAGCGTCTGCGAGAGGCTTCGCTTGAGGAGAGAAACGAGTTCAGTAAAGGGAAATGGTGGGCTTGTAAATAAACATCCCTTCTGAATGTAATGGCATGAGAGCATAGGGAGGTCTGAAACTGAGAGTTTGAGGTCATCCATGGAGGAAATTTGATCTGGGAAAATAGTGCATTTCGACACCTGAGTTAAAGATTGCGAAGGCATTTTGTTATTGTTTCGCAGTCTTTTTTGTGCTCTGGGTATCACTTTGAGGCGACTGAGGAAAATGGGAGTTGGGGTAGGGTATATATAGGGTTGGGAAGGGGGTTTTGTTCATGCATTTGCGATATTGATTTCGGTTTCTCTCTCACACACTGACAGTGTGAGGGAGAGGGAGACTTTTTTAAGGATAGTGTATGAGTTGACTGTGGATGTATATTTTGATGAAGGAATACTCAAAAGATACGAGTTGTTGGCACGTGTACAACTCAACTATTACCATTACTTCAATATTCACCTTAAATAGTTAAAATCAAAACAATTCAATCGAACTTGAACCTTATCAAAATCTACTTTTACTCGCACTTTTCGAAATCAATACAACGAATAAAACAAGCACGAGGTTGTAGTGGGCGGAGTTGGCATAGGCTAAGGAAATGTTCGTGGCGTGGAGGCTCACTCCATATCAGTTGTCGGGAATGTTTTTCTAATAAATTTTTGATACATCGACACGTCATCTCTTATTAAAATTGCAATGATACCAACACATGCTTTTATATTGGAATACATTACACTTCTCATTAATTGTGGATGGTAAGTTTGAGACAACATAGTAAAGTCAAGAAGGTGTGTATAATCGTTGTAAATAAAAGTGTTCCATTAAATGATGAGATTATGAGAATAAAAGTGTGTACAGCCAAGAGAAGAATCCTCTTGGTTTTGGTGCAAAATTGTTGAATCACACACATGGTTCTCTATATCCTTTTGGGGATCAGTAATCTGATTTTTGGGAAAAGGAAAATTTGATATGTTATGTGTGGGACAACAAACTCGTATACCAGAGGATTTTCTTTTAGATTGCAAAAAGGATTTGCCTTTATATTTTAGGCTATTTCTCGACAATTTCAGCAATATCAACTTAGTAATACGCAATTTTCAAACTCTTTAAAATTTAAATAGCATCTTCGACTTTCAACTTAGGATAAATGCATGCAAAATCAAATACTTGTCACAAATAGTCATTTCCCCTCTTGCTCCAGTTTGATGATCAAAACTAAAGAGCTTAGAAGGAACAAATCTTGGCTAGTTGAGAGCGTTAAGATTTGGGGTTCCATTTTAAAAAGTCAACATTATTTAGAGGAGTAGCACTTAATATGCCCTCTGCAAGATGGTGGCTCGTTTGAGCAGACAAATCTTGAAATCCGTCGGTTCATTTTTTTATTTTTTATTTTAGTCTTGATCGGATCGGATCGGATCGGATCGGATCACTCGTTGGAGTTTAACGAGCTATGATATCATGTTAAGATTTGAGATTTCATCTTAAAAGATCAATCTTATTAATAGAAGTAGTCCAAACTCTTATAAATTGGTCTATGTTTTTCATTTTTATTCGATATAAGATTCTATCCCTTAATAGAGAGAAATTTGTTGATTGTATTTCTACTGTCAATATTCACTTTAAACTTTGTGATTATCATTGAATTTGGCATGGAAAATTGATTGAGTTTCAAAATATCATGCATCAATGTGACTTACGGATTTTGAGAAATTCAGGTCAAATAATTCATCAACGTTTCCTCATAAATTAACGTGATTGGCTCTTGGAGTAGGTTTGGATTAGAGAGGGAAAAAATAAGGTCCGGCGTATAGGGAATTTAGTAATTTTCATATATACAATTGAGGTCTTTCGTGATTTTTCTTTCTCTGAATTTATAAAAGTTATTCACATAAAATATTTATTTTGTTTTTCTCCCTATTTTTTTTAATTTTTATTTAAACGTAAATCACGTGGACATATCGTAAAATTGGTCTCGATTTCCAATATATTTTACTTTCAGTCATCGAACATACTAACATGGTAGGCATCCTTTCATTTAATTCAATTTCAAAGAAAATCAAACCAAACCAAACCAAACCAAGTATTAATATATTTTATACATAGAATAAAATTATTCTATGTGGAACCGAATTGGAAATGTGCGATTCGATTTGATCAAAATTTGTAACATGTAAATTGATATTTAATTTATTTTTTTGTTCACTTTCGTGATTTCTAATTTCAGACGAAAAATATATCTTCCAGTCCAATACGAGTGGTTCCAAAAAAGGTACTCACCTAGTCGATATAGAAAAGAAAATAAAAAATAAAAATATTTTCTTTATTTAAAATTTTCACCCACACAGCAGTAATTAGTATTAGAAACTTTAATATATGCATGTATGTTCCTAGTTTTGCCATAGCCAGACACAAAACTTGAGTAAATATGTAGCAGAAATGAATCACAGCCGACCATTTAGGGGCTGTTCTCTTTGTATTTCAATTTTTTATTTTGAGTTTTGAATTCAAAAATTAAAAAAAATGGAAAACCCCTTTACTTTCCCCTCCCCCTCTCTCGGTGGTGGTTGGAAACACCCAAAACGCATTTTGAAAATTTTTACTTTTTTTTTTGTCGTTTTGGGTTTTCTTTGTAAATTTTTAATTTGTTTTTAGAAACGCGTTTTCGAAAATAGGAAAGAGAACATATTTTTACTATTTTGAAAAATCGAAAACAGAAAATAGTTTGAAAATGATAAACACAACATGCCCTTACATTCTGTATGCTGGCTGTCATTCCCCTTATTCCTAGAAAAATCGGTCTGAATCTCTTCTACAAAATCAACATATATAAGCAAATTGTCTTCAGAAATAATTAATTACTGCTACTTGAGATTATTTTCCTATAATTACGTAGCTTATGCTTTGGATTATCTGATAAAAAATAATGAAAAAATATTCATCAAAACTCTCTTTTCTGATTTGTCTGCGTGGGTTGATTTAAAATAAAATTAATTTGAGAAATTTGGAGGTAATTAATTATATTTGCTGCATAGTGTGTGGATTTGCACGTGTATGACAGTTCAAGAACAACCCTCAATTATTAGGCTTCTTACCACTACTAGTGAGTGCACATGCAATGCACGTGCCTTACTATAGCTAGCTATGTAATAGTGTTGACTGATTTATGATTATTTTTGAAGATATCACTAATTAAATCTTATTTAGGAAAACTTTTTGAATAAACTTGAAAGTTAAAACGAAATAAAAATCGATTGCTAAACCTGATATGTATTACACACAGATGACTTCAAATTTTTCCCTTTTGTAGTTCATTTTTGTCCTGTATAGATAAATTAAGATTTTTGTTACATATATACCCATGAGACCATCTGGATGATGGAGGCTTTGACTATATGACAGATAAGGAATGAGGCTAACTTATTTGCCAAGGTAAGCAGACTATTAGAATTTTTAATATGGTCTCTCAATAATGAGTATGGTGGGTTTTGAAGAAATTTTTCCCAAAAGGAATCATCACTGTAGGAGGCTCTGGTATATCATCGAACATGGTATTACGTCATGCCATCTGAGAATCAGGAGAAAAGATGCCAATTTCTAACGGAATTTTGTCATCTAGTTTGAATGAGGTTGGATCCATGAAAGTATCACTCTCTGTTTCAGATGGCATGACATCAACATTGCGTTCTTGCACAATTTCTGAGAGCTTAGGCATTATAGCATTTGTTGGTGGAAATGTAACAGGGGGAACTTCTGGAGTTCTAACCAGTTGCCATACATCCAGAAATTGATCAGTCACAATTTTAGAAGTTGCGTCCAGGGAGGATGGTTGAATCTCAGAAATTGCAGGAGAAGGAGTAAGATCTGTTGTTGACTGTGACTATTCACAGGTTTCCGTTTAGTAATACTTTTAAGCAGATGCTTTTGACCTCTTAAGAAACTCTCATTTGGAAATTCCCAGTGGTGTGGATCAACTTTCCTAAAACCTTGTTTGACTACAATGACCCAATAATGAGAGCGTGATGTAATTTTCGAAAGAATACCATAATGTGGCATCTTATGTCAAATACGAAAATAAACTAAAATGGAAAGAAAAGCGAACTTTGGTAGCAATAATTGACAACTTATATTACATATAAATCAGATCAAGAATATTCAATTCGATGTATCAAAAGGTAATATAAAATATAAGTTGATTTCCAAGTGTAACAGATTTTATACATATTTCAAAAGTTTAATTGTTTACCTTAGGTTACGCGTAGTAAAGCAGTGAGCATGATAAAATTGTTTAGCTACTTTTTTACAATTTACATAAATGCTATTAGTGCATTCATCAATTAGATAGTGTAGCACTAAACAAGCACCAATTGAATCCTATATGGAGCTTTTGCGAAATCATTGGTGATGGAGAAGTGAATATTTGTTTATTGAACTTCCTGATTTGTATTCTTCTTCAATCTAGTAATAACCAATGAATCTTGCTTTTGGTTTCCTTTAGCTGGTAGAATTAAAGTTTAGCTACCACCATACAATAGTTTTTAATAATTGTATTTTGCACAAGTTCAGACACTAATATAAATCTTCAACAGATGAAGCTTCTGAAATCGGAAAGTGAGATCTGGACTAACGCTATTTGTGTATACTACTGTGGCAGTTTCCAAATCATAGACAAAGAGAAGTCCTAGCTTCGTAATCACGTATGTCAAACTATACCGACAAAGTAAGATTAACAAATTAAAACGTTTGTGTAGATGAAATCAAATGAGTTATCGAAGTGCAGTGAATTTACTTGTGTGTTTTAAAATCATAAAAATCATCAAAAAACAATTTAATCACGACTTTTTGTTTCACAATGAATGTAAAATTNTCTATCATATATTTATCATTGTCAAACTTCAACATTTCCAACAAATTTTAAATTGTTTAAAAATAAAATTTGTAACTTAAAATACTAAATCAAATGTAAAGAAAAAAGAAAGCTTAGCCGAGCCGAGCCATATAGGCAAAAAATAAAATAAAATACCTTGGTCGAGTCGAGCTTTAAAGTCATTTGGAATAAAGCATAAAAAAGGGGCTTAGCCGAGTTGAGTTGTATAGCTATTTGGCTCGGCAAATTATTTTTGATATCAACAAAAAATTTTTAAATTGCTTAATACGAATATTTGTAACTTAAAATGCAGAATCAAATATAAAAAGAAAAAAAAAAGATTGCCGAGCCGAGCCATACAGCCAAAAAAAAGGGATTGGCCGAGTTGAGCCATAAAGTCATTTGGAATAAAGCGTAAAAAAAAGGTTTAGCGAAGCTGAGTCATATAGCAATTCGGCTTGGCAAATTATTTTTAACATCAATAACAAATTTTTAAATCGCTTAAAATGAATATTCGTAACTTAAAATGTTAAATAAAACGTAAAGGCAAAAAAAAAAAAAAAAAGTTGGCCGAGCCGAGTCATATAGCCATTCGGGTGGCGAATCATTTCTGCGATCAATAACAAATCTTTAAATCGCTTAAAACGAATATTCGTAACTTAAAATATTAAATGAAAAGTACAGGAAAAAAAAGGCTTAGCGAAGAAGAATCATATAGAAAAAAAAAAGGCTTGGCTGTGTTGAGCGATAAAGCCATTTAGAATCAAACGGTAAAAAAAAAAGGTGGTCGTATTATATTATCTTTGATACCCATTTTTCTAAAATATATATTTTTTCTCCTATTTATAATCACATTTTTAATAAAATAATATTACATGTGAAATAAAGAATTACACCTTTACGTTTCACATTTAACGTAAAATTATTTTTGACATCAACAAAAAGTTTGTAAATTACTTAAAATGAATGTTCGTAACTTAAAATATTGAATCAAGTGCCAAAAAAAAAAAAAAACTTAGTGAAGCCGAGCCATATACTCCAAAAAAAGCGGTTTGACCAATTCGAGCGAAGTGAAGATGAGACTTTGTAGGCAATATAAATATAAATTTCATAAAATAGAAAGCTTAACTTGTGTAATTGCACAAGTTTTTCTTGTGGAAAATCAAAATCATGATTTTGAGAAAGTGAATATTTCTGATTTTCGCCGTTTCCAGCTGCAGGCAAAAGACAAGAATAATATTGGATGGATCCTTAGCAATTTTAGCGTTACAATGTGGTATTGTTAATTTTATGATTTGACGAGTTTAGATGGTCATTCTTATAACATGTTTGATACCCATTCTTCTAAAATATATTTTTTTCTCTCTTCTTTACAATCATACATTTTCAATAAAATAATACTATATGTAAAATAAATAATCATGGCTTTTTGTTTCACAATGAATGTTAAATTATTTTTGACATTAACAACAAATTTTTAAATTGCTTAAAATGAATATTCATAACTTAAAATACTAAATCAAACGTAAAGAAAAAAAAGATTAGCCGAGCCGAACCATATAGAAAAAAAATGGCTTNGGCAAAAAATAAAATAAAATTCTTTGGTCGAGTCGAGTCATAAAGTCAGTTGGAATAAAGCGTAAAAAAAGGGCTTAGTCAAGTTAAGTCATATAGCCATTTGGCTTGGCAAATTATTTTTGACATCAACAACAAATTTTTAAATTGCTTAAGACGAATATTTGTAACTTAAAATGCTGAATCAAAAGTAAAAATAAAAAATAAAAAAAAAAGCCGAGCCGAGCCATATAGCAAAAAAAAAAAAAAGGGCTTGACGGAGTCAAGTCATAAAGCCATTTGGAATAAAGCGTAAAAATAAGGCTTAGCCGAGCCGAGTCATATAGCCATTCGGCTCGGCAAATTATTTTTCACACCAACAACAAATTTTTAAATCGCTTAAAATAAATATTCGTAACTTAAAATATTAAATGAAACGTAAAGGCAAAAAAAACAAAAGGCTTAGCCAAGTCGAGTCATATAGCCATTCGGGTCGGCGAATTATTTTTGTCATCAAAAACAAATCTTTAAATCGCTTAAAACGAATATTTGTAACTTAAAATACTAAATGAAAAGTAAAGGAAAAAAAAGGCCGAGTCAAGCCATAAATTTCATAAAATAGAAAGTTTACCTTGTGTAATTGCACAAGTTTTTCTTGTGGAACTTGAAAATCAAAATTATGATCTTTGAGAAAGTGAATATTTCCGGTTTTCGCCGTTTCTAGCTGCAGGCAAAAGACAAGAATAATATTGGACGGATGCTTAGCAATTTTAGCGTCACAATGTGGTATTGTTAATTTTATGATTTGATAGGAAGAAATACCTTTTCATGCAACTGCTCCATGCCAGACTTCAGTCTTTGGGTTGCTAAATGATTGTTATTGACATCTAAATTCTTTCCATTGCTCTGCGGGGAATTCACCTCCAACAAGTACCTCAGGAATCCCATGCATGCCTTTGGATGCAGCATCCCGTTAAATAATAGCATATGAGTATTTTTGTCACAAAATATTTATGACGTTGAAGTAATAGATGGTAACAATAAAACATCAATAATTATCTTTAAAGTTCTAAATTACCAACAAAAATGTTTTTTTCCATAGAGGTGATTGTTTGACTCAAGATTAATTAAAATTTATAAACTCCATTGTATTGCTTCATTACGTCAAGTCGGAAAACTTTTACTTGGACATGCATTATAGTTCTAAAGATCAATACTACTTTGTGCATGACATGTATTGTAGAGTAAGTGGTAAAAACTTATTTCAGTAAGTTGCTACCTGAGTAGTGAGCAATTATTTTGAGTACATGAGTAGAAGAAAACATTTAAAGAACACTAATATGGCTAGAATCATATACAAAATCTTAAAACAAATACATGGTAACTCATCAAATTAGAACAAAACAGACATAAAATTGATTTGAAATATGCCAAGAAAAACCATTATACCAGTCTAGAGTTATACAAAATGAAACTTACCAGTATTAGCTGTGACGTAAGTACAACTTCTTTTGGCCTGTAAGTATTAGGTAGAGATTCTGGGATACCATTTCGGACAACAATTTTTGTCTTTGAATCCAAATGCTTGTTCGAACCAGATGTGCTACTTGTTTTGTACATTCTTCCAGTTGAGGCTCGACTATGAAACGAATCAGCAGAGATATTAGACGAATATGAAGCACTGAGTGACAAATTTGAATGGACTACCAACTCATGTTTACTGGAGGAATACTAAGAGAATGTATTGGATTAGATAATTTTGTGACAACAATCAGTCTATTCTTATCTAATCGGATCCGTTTGTCCTTTATTGACTCCTCCACCATCGTCAAAGTCTTTGACATGAGTCTTTGCTCCTTTTTTAACGTCAATGTGTTGCATCCAGCATGCTTAGGTTGAGAGTCAGCAACATTTGCTGATCTTTCCTTTCGAGCCCCCGACATGAGATGAAATAAAACTATCCTTATATGCTCCTTCAAGAATCTTTCTGTTAGCCCCAAAAATTCTAAAAATTTTCTATCTTTTTACCAGTTCAATGGGGGATTAATAAGATATACTTTCTTGTGAAAGCTAATGTAGTTTTTGTTGTTCTTCTGTCACTCCAATGAATGGAATTTGAGTCCTAATCTTTTGACTTCTGATGAGAAGTTTAGAAGAACTTGTGATGTGAAGTTTATTTTGTCAGGTGAATTAGTCATTGAAGGAAAGATCATTTGTGATTTTGTCTTTCGTAAATGTTGTTATTTAAGTTATTATTTATTTCATATTTGAATTTTGATTAGATCAGATCAGATTAAAACTAATTAAAACAAATTTTCAATATGATTTTCCTGTTTTTCACAAACTCATTGAAATCCTGCAACTAATTTAAATGTATGTTTGTTCCTATTTTCCTCATCGTCAGTTTGCTTATTGCAGGTTACGGTCCTTGGGACTTCTGGAATTTCTGGTTGTTGAGCTAGCAAGATATTTTGGCTGTGACATTCCTTGTTTTAAGGTGGCTGGGTTTTATATATCAAGTCATGAGATTTATGTACTTTAGTTTAAATCTTGTAATTTGTCGAAGTATGGCTTATATTTTGTGGTAGATTTGATAGATTGAAGTTGATAGGAAGTTGTTGAAAAACATGTATTTTGTGATGTTATATATTCAGTTATCAATGAAAAAACGTAGCTGCCTTCTTCTTTATTGTTCATCTTGAAAAACAGAGCATTTTTCTTCTTTACAAAAAACAAGGTCTAGTAGTGAAAATCCCGGTAAGCATTAAGTGAATACGGTGAGCTGAGTGCATATACTGTGAGCGTTTTGCACATACGGTGAGTCCTCTGTTTTCTCAATAAAAACAGAGTATTGCTTACAAATCGGGTGAGCATCTTGCATAAACGGTTAGCACCTTGCATATCCGGTAATTTCATTGTCAAACTGGTAAGTTATACAAAACGGTAAGGATTGTTAAAACTGGTTAGCATATTGTGAATCCGGTAATTTCTACTCTTTCAATCAAAACTCCAACACTGGTTCTTACGTTAAGCAGAGAGCATAGAATTGGATAGACAGCTAAACAACAGATTTTGTTTTCATGTTTTTGACTTGTGGAAGAATTTCAGAACCATTGAAGTTTCCAGCAAGTATACTTCTGTTAGCCAGTTTGGTTCTTGTGATTTTCTGCTAGATGTTTACTGAAACTCTATTTAAATAGGTATAATAAGGACACCGAGCAAACTTGACAAGTTGAAGTTCCTGATACTGCAATATTTCTTCTGAACTTCCTGTAACTTGGGTTTCGAGGTTGTTAATGATTTGTTGGTTCGATTGGCTAAGCACGTTATCATTATCATAATTTTATTTTTATGTTCTAGACTTCGTTGAGGTGAAATCTTGGAAATATTGAATGAATGAGCAATTTCATGATGATTATCCATTCTCTTGCTATCTTCTTGCTTGTTATTTTTCCCTTATTTGTACAATTTTGCTTGTATTCATTGAAAAATTGAAATCATAAATGTATATATGAATGGAATTCTATTCTTCTACGAACTTCGTCTACTATAATCGTGTTCTTACACGGTCAAATGTTTAAATGGTTGTTGAAGTAGAATGTCCTATTTCACACCATGAAAATCCCTAGAAGAAGAGGCCACTCAAGTCCAAGGCACCTAAGCACTCAACTGTAAAAAACGGAGACGACATCATGACCCTAAACTCAATTGGACAAAGAGGTGAACAATGACATCTTGAAGATTATTTATCTCTACGATTCTGTGGTTGCTATCTTGTAGTTGGATAACTTTAGCTTCATGTTTTCCAGTACTTCAAAGAAAGTATTGAACTACCAAAACTGCAATTATGTGAATGACAAATCATTTTCTAATGTAATGAAAGAAAGTTCCTCTTTCACTTAAAAAACACCACCACAAAAATAGTGACAGAAAAATTCTGAAGAAAACGGAATAAGAGAAGAAAAGAATGATGATGGTAGTATGACGAAAAGCCATTAGTACATCCAAGATTCCACACCATATGGAAGGAGTTTTGGATGTACTAATTGAATCAATTGGATGACTTGTGAAGCTGTTGGGATGTAAGAAATAAGAGACTGAAGCTTAGCAACAGCAGACGTCCTATCAGGTGGGCACTTGGAGAGAGTGACATTGAAGGAGTTGACAGCCACATCAAGTTTCTTGCAGCCATGGAAGCTGACCCTTCCTTGTAAGCTTTATCAGCCATTTGAGCATCATATTGTACAGACAACTTTTATTAGAGTTTGTGTTCTTTAAGACAGAAGCACATCGAGATTTTAAGTAAGTAGTAGCATTAGTGTATTCAAGAGTAGCAATGGCAGAATTGTACTCATTGCCATGATAGAAAAACTAAATATTTCAGGGGTTTTACAGAAAGCATCCAGTTAAATCATACCATAGAGCACCTCAACTTCTTCAGTCAATGCAGCTCTAATCTCACAGCAAGACTCATCCATAGAAAGATTATAAATGAAAGCCAAGATTCAGTTATTGGCTTTACTTTTTTTCCCTACATGTTATATACATGTTATATACAGGACTCATCCATAAAAAGATTATAAATTTTATGTAAATACATGTCAATAGATTATATCTGTTTAGCCGACACACACAAACCATTTGCAATAATAAATTCTAACAACACTCAGATGTAATCGGTATTTGTACAAAACTGTATGACTAAAATTCATTCTAGGAAATTACAACTTAGATATGTCAATAACCATCCGTACATATAGTATATCTATGAAATGCAGTATATGGTTACAGTTGCATAAATACAACAGGCATTAAAAGTCTAAACTGGAAATGAGGATTCTTCTACTAATGTCTGCTTCTCTGTCCATTAGCTTGACCCTTTCCAAGTCAAAAATTTGGACGCGTCTTCTAATCCTTCAGTTTTTTGCTTCCTTTAGGTTTGGCTATGGGTGCAGTCATTCGAGCCATTTTCGCATTGTATTTGCCCGAAGAGCATTGTTATAGGTCCATCTGCGAAGCCAGAAATCAGGAATTAGCTGATAATTGATATGGGAACCAACTATTCAAATTTGGATTACATGATCAATATCAAGAACATCATCATAAAAACAAATCACAAGTCTCTCAGTGATAAAGGTCCACTAATTAGATATAAAAACCTAATGGGTTTGAAAGAGAAAAACGAAGAGATGTATTCACAAGACGAGACCACAATCTTGAAACATGGACAAGAACCAAAGATTTCTGCATGGGCACGGTGTCCGCGCGCGGACACGGTGTCTCCATGTTGCACGGAGGATTATTTTTTATTTTTTATTCTTATTATTTTTTTAAGAGTGCTATATATTACCAAATTGAATAAAACTAATTATTAAATCCTACCATTTATCAAACACATTCCATACCATTTATCTAACATATTCCTCACACATTATTTTCCGGATGGTAGAGAAATAACAGCATAAAAGGATGACACTTACAATCAATTTTATCTTCAATAGGAGCATTGGGATGAAAGACTGAAAGAGCGCAGGCAAACTTGTCAAAGTTTAATATCCCATTGTGCTTTCTGTCAAATAAGTCAAATACCTGGAGTGTATAAACAGATTTTGAGGTAAATAGCAATTAAAAAGGCTTTCCTGCAACACCATTATCAAAAACTCAACAAGGCAACACGCCCATTGAAGTAATATGGTTATTAAAAAGCAAATGCATGACCCCCAGACTTCCAAAAAGT